CCACCTTAATTATTAAGAAGTACCAACATCGAATCGGCGATACTTGCCCTGTATTTACTTGGTATTGGCTCAATACCAAATCTTGTGGTATCACACACCACTACTGTTAAACAGTCTTGATGTATAGCTTTATTGTATAAATCTATATAAATGCATTTTTGACAGGGTGACAAAGATTTAATTAACAAATTTTCTTGATTTTGAACACCCAGATTTAGCAATGACGTATCAACTGTACACCATGTCCCCCCTTACAAATTCACACCTAGAGCCTATGCCAGTTGCGTATGATTAAATTTAGCCTCCAAATTTCATACCCATCATGCATTGCAGGAGTTAGCAAATTCCATAAATGCATGCCTTGACAACATAGTTTAAATGAAATAGTACAAAATTATTTTAAGTATTGTACCAAGTATTTTTTGTGTTATGACTCCACCATAATGAGATTGTACACATAAAGATAAGAGATATAAAAATAGCATGCTAGCTGTTTCAGCTGTGTTTGGCTTAGCCTTGCACCCTTGTCCTTTATATATTGAAATTCCTTGAACCCTTTAATGATATTATGCACTGTAGTGGGAGAAAAATGCAAACCCCCCTCCAAATTTTCTTTGAGGAACATTGTTTTTAAACATTTCAATCATTTTCTTACATTCTCTCTTTCAGTTACACTAATTTTCTGACATTCTATCTGTGTTGACAAACTGGAAATCCTCTGTTCATCTTCGTTCCTCAAAGATCTAGCCTTTCGTGGAAACTGCTTTTGTACCAAATCATGATGACGATCACCTGTCGAAATCATATGTTTGAAATCCCATCATACTTGCCCTTAATTGCCCCCATCCCAACTATTTTTAAATGTGTTACAGGCCTGAAATGCAGGAATGGATGTATATTAACTAGGGCTGTCAAAATTAATGGGGTTACGTGGATTAATCCATCATCATGATTGATCTGATTAAAATTTTTAATGCAATTAAGCCATCTGCAGCACAGAATGACACAAAATCCAATGTCTCTGTCAACCCATTTCGGGCAATTTTGGTGCATTCCATTTGCCCTGGGAACTCATATTCCGAGTCGAATTGCGGAGTTTTGAAGCCGGAAGTGACAACATGCGCACTCCCATATCTCGGAGCAGCACAGAGGATCCCAAGTTCAGAATCCAAGATGGCTGCGCCTTTTATCAAAAGAAGGGAAAGTTGTAGTTTTATACTGTTTAAGTACTACTTCTCATCTGTGGCTCATTAAATCGGTCACACACACTATACCGTCCAACTTATCTGTGGACGTATTGCTATGTTTTATACGTAAAGCACCGCGCGTAATGTGTTATCAACTGATATTGCTAACAATGACAATTAACCGGGCTGGAATTGGATTTCATGATTAGTCGGATTATTTGTTGGATTTACGGTAGTTCAGGCTAATTGTAAGTGAACAAATATAAAGACCATTTAAACTGAGGTACCTTAAATCGGACAAGTTGTCCGGCTAAGCAAAAAATCTTGCTTTTTGATATGGGTCCATGGTATTGCACTTCTGTGGCAGATGGAATGCATCCGACTCGTGTTCAAGATGTTCAATAAACATGTTAAGTGCATATATATTCCCTTTTTTCTTGAGTCTGTTTGCTCATGCAAAATGAAATGTGATTAATATGGATTAAAAATGAATGATATTTAATTGTGATTAATCGAAATTAATCCACAGCAACCCTGTGATTAATCTGATTAAAAATTTTAATTGTTTGACAGCACTAATATTAACAAATGAAATGAAGTTGACCAGACAAAACATGAAATACTGCATTTTGTTAATTTGTATTTTCCATACCGTTCCAACTTTTTTCTGGTTTGGGTTTGCGGTTCCACGTCCCTATGACATCCAGACCAGTACAAGTACTGCCACAGGCAGTCCTGTGGACTGATCTCCTATGGTAAAGATGGGGGCGACTGTACCTGCCTGGGTGCTTGTTAGCACCCCCTGTGGTCCCCCTCACCACTGCACCCTCCTCTGCCTGGCAATGCTTCAGGCATGAGCAGTGTCAAGAGGATTACACCTCTCAGGGTCGTCTAGACCAGCGTTTTTCAAACTTATTTGTCCTGGGGACCAGTCATGTCAGGCTTTGGGACTGCAGGGCCCTGCATAAACGACCGCCCCATGGATTGTTTATTTGTCAAAAAGACCTCAATCTCATGTCTTAACTCATATACTCTGCTCACCACTTTACCCCGTGACAGCCAACGAACCTCGGAGTGCAAAAGCAGATGAACATTATCTGCACCCATCTCCTAATATAGAGCAGTAAATAGACGTGAATTTGTCGGGTTGGCTTTAATAAAGTTCACGATCCGGAACACTTGATTTAGAACTTCCTGCAGCTCTGTGGACAAGCGTTTAAAGGCAAGCACCTCTCGATGGATAATGCAGTGCGTTGCCTGGACTGACGGAGAAAGACTTTCACCCGAGATATAACTCTGTTGTGCCTACCGGTCATAGCCGCTGCCCCATATTTACAGACACCGACACAACAACCCCACAGCAACCGATGCCCAGTGATATACCCATCCAGCACATAAAATATATCTCCAGCGGTTGTGGTCCCTGGCAGCTCCTTGCATAACAAGAAATCCTCATGAAACCGGCCCTCCTTAACATATCTGATGTACACCAGAAGCGTGGTTAGGTTTGAAATGTCAGTGCTCTCATCTAATTGAATGGCAAACCAGTCAGATGCTTTTGCCCTCTCTGTGATTTGCATTTCGATGTCTGCTGCCATGACGTCAATTCAGCGACAGACGGTGTCGTTTGACAGCGGGATCTCCTTTACCTTTGCTGCAGCAGCCGGACCCAACACCTCAGACCAAGCACTGACAATGGAGGGCAAAACTAGTTTCTCCTCAATCATGAATGGCTCCTGACATTTGGCTATGTGATGGGACAGAATGTATGACGCCTTTGTAAGTTTTTCATTGTCTGTTAAATTACTTTTCAGCACTTTGGTTTGGGTGGCCAATTCATCGTGTTTTCTTTTGAAGAAGTCATCTGATTTATCTTTTAGATGTGCATGTTATGTTTCCAAATGCCGGCGTAGTTTCGATGGTTTCATAGCCTCGTTGCTTAGCATAGCTTGGCAGATGACACAGATTGGTTTCGGGGGGGAACTATCGCTAGAAATAAAACCGAATTTAATGTATGAAATGTCGTAATTTCGAGTAAATGGGCGATGCTTTTTTGCCTCTGGCTCATCCTGTAAGTTGGCATCATTTGATGGAGGCTTCCAAAAGAAATAATCCAGACTCGCTTGCTTTGAACATGCCATGATTTATTGACAGCTCTCGTAACGCGTGTGTGTCTGTGAAAAGTTTGGAGTGAATGAGACAAAGGGAGGGAACGATGAACATTCTAGAATGCTGAAACAAGGGGCGGACTGTGAAGTCGGGCGGGCGGGGAGGGGCACGCAGTGACAGCAGCGCTGAGATCAGACCTGACCTGACTGAATTTTGATTGGTCCAGAAGCGAGGAAGGACCCAGTCTGTCCTAGATGTCAGCCAGGCCTGTAATGCCGACAGCAGGAAGATCGCCCTCACTACAGTAATAAATCATCAAGGCCTTTTATCTGTATCCATAGCTTGTGTGAGATATCCCTGAGAGGCAGGAGGTGAACTGGGAAAGATCCATGCCGATGTTATTGTCCTGTTCTGTCTGTGCCCGGGTGGCTTTAATAACACTTGCGACAGCGTTTGGACCCTATCGCTAACCGTAGCATTGGGTAGACAGACAGTTTTCAAAAATTTGCTTTTAACATCTTTTATTTTGTGGTCACCTACCAGCAGAGTCTTTGGTTTTCTCTGACTTGATTAGCTGATTGTTTGGTTGCACATTCTGTTCTGATCACACCCTCTACGATAATGTCACATTAGCTTTAGTGGCTTTCGGTCTGTTTACCCCTGGATGCTGTGAATAGATGCTCCTCACGGATCTCAGTGTTAGCATCTGAGCTGGCAGTGCTAATGCTGGTGATGGTATTAACATTGGGCTCATTGACAGGCAGCTCGACCAGAACAATGTACGTGTTCTCCAAAAGTCTAAAAATGACCATCTTAGATGTGATTACATATCACCTTTAACTGCAATCATGAATTAAAATTATTCTTTTCTTTGCCAAGATGTACTGAGACCAGGGGGTATTCCACGAATCTTAATTTCCTAAACTTAAACCTAAGCCAAAAGTGAGAACTGTCCAATAGGAGGAGAGGTAAGTGACATTCCTATTGGACAACCCTTACAGTTGGCTTAAATTATCTGGCTTTGAGGAATATCCCCCTAGTTTATAAAAAAGTCACAGTACAAATGATTCACATCAGCTTCTTTATTCTGTTTTTGATTTTATAAATAGAAACTGTGATTAATTCAAGCAACATGATTTATAATTTTTCTATTAATTATGTATTTTTTCTATTCAGTGAACTGACCACAAATGGCAGGATTATAATTTATGTGTCAGAGCAAAGAAGCTGGTTTGGAAATGAGGGCTTTAAACGTAGCTGGGCCAGACAGAGATCTGTGGTTATGGAGACATGACCTTTCAGGACAAAGGAGATGAGAAATTTACTTTGAGTCCAAGTAAGGACTTCAGCCAAGACTCAAAGGCATCTTGGCCAGTGCCATTAATGCTGAGGAGGGACTTTGTGCTGTCCCCACCACGGACGTGTAGAAACATCTCCAGTGTAGGTCAGTCTCTGCAAATTTTTATTTTCTCCTCTTCTGTCTTGACTGCTTTGATTCTGCTTTAACAAGCCTCATTTATCAAGCTGGTTGACCCTCAAAAGCGAACATGACTCCATCAGGTGTGAAACTGAGCTTGATCACAACTGGATGTTCGGAGACGTTTCTGGTAGCTTTGCAGTTATATGTGATTTTCCCAAACCAGCCAAATGATTTTTGTAGCTGTGTGTCAGACTTGTGACAGTAAAAGGAGACTTGCACATCTGTAATTTCAAGCTCACAAACTGGCATCTTTATTTATGCTCATTGTAGTGTAACCCTCACATTTAACTTTCAAGGGTCTGAGATTCCCTGTGAGGGTGGAGATCAGTAACAGTGAAGATCCCCCATTCATACTGTAAATCAGTGTTATTCTGTTCTTTCACTTTAAAACTAATTACAAAACAGTGTATCACATCACAAACACGGTGAGATGCACTGAGGAAATTCACAGGAAGAGAGGTAAATGCAGAGTGGCAGTGGGATTCACACCCCAAACATACATTGAATGGGGATGGGATTCAAACCCGAAACACACATTGAGTGGGTGTGGGATTCAAGCCCACTGCGCTGCCCAGAGAATATTCATGCTACATGAAAAATAGACATTATATTATTGCATATTCCAAATTTTGGTAACATTGCCATGTTTTTAGTCATTTATAAACACATACATAAAGCATTATAATGCATCCATAAGGAATTATAAATATGGCTATGAACATTGATAAAAGGCATGATACATTATAGCCATGTTTATTATGAATGCATTATTTATTATGAATGTGTCAATTAGTAAAAACATGGCCTTAAGTTAAACGTTCCCCAAAATTTTAGCGCTGGGGCAATAACCAATTTATAAAAATTTGCTTGCAAACAGCTTCCTTCGGGGCCTCAGTCAGACTGCCACACTTCCAAAGGCGCTATGGTATGTGTTTACACTGCCGGTCTGTTACAATGCAGGTGTGTCTATTAGGTTAAACTGGGAGTTTTAACCAGGAGGTTTTGGGTAATGGGTTACCGCGCAGGTTATGGCTTACTTACTAACTTACCTTCTTATTTACGTGTGTTATCAATAATCCCAGCCCTATTAAATTTAGCATTATATTCATGTATTATACAAAAGTGGCAAAGTAGATTGAATGTATGTTTCAATATACAAATATACAATATACAAATATACATTTCATGTATATTTAAAGCGACAAGCAGTTAAAAAAAAACAAACATAATTATTACTCAGCCTGGTTTTTATCACACAGCTGGTTCCTCCATCTTCTCAGTAATGCTGCTGTCCTCAGAATGGCCAGAGGTAGCATTACTAATCAGGGGATGTTCAGATGGTCCCTGATCAGGTCGATTTTCAATTGCTAATTCCGCAGTCGTTTGATCAAAACTGCAGCCCCCACCGCAGCCCCCACAGTCACCACGACGCCCACGATCAGCCCAATCACCAGCATGTTTCCTCCTGAAGACACCCCTGCAGAAAGCAGAGAGATCAGTAAGTGTCCAGACACATTTTCACACAGACAATCGATCCTCAGTCAGTGTAAAATCTCACTGAAGCAGCCAGTAGAGCCGCATCACCGAGCCAACAGCCCGACCAAGAGCAGCTTTCCGTCTGACCACTTTCTCTGTTACGGACCCCCCTCAGGGGTACAACAGCAGGCCCCCTGGGGCTCAGTTCCACACCCTTTAGCACCCTGGCCGCTGGGTCCCAAACAGCCAGTCTAACATAGTATCACTCATGAAATGCTAAATGCTAATAGCACAGGAAGGCCAGGCTGTGAGGAGTGTGTATCTGCTGTGACCTGTGGGCACTGGGGGGCGCTGCATCGGCAGCATGACCCTCTGACAGCTTCACCCCCTGCTGCTGTGAGGAATTGCTCACTCTACACAGCCCTGCTCCCATTCTGAAGACTGACGTAGGAATCACACTGGGGCAGAAGCATGTTTATCATGCAGAGTATAAACTCACCTGGATGATCTTCTCTCTCTCTGTATGGCCTGCAAACAGGATCTGATCCGGGAGGGAAAAGAGAAACTAATCAGCAGATCCTGTGTGAATTCTGACTGTTTATTCCTGTTTGAACCAAACCCTGTCATACAGCCATGATCTCTGAACACTAGCTATGTGTTTGTATGCTGCTCACATGTACTTTATGGAGCCTGTAACATCCCATTATATTCAAATGATGAGGACACATCACCTAAATGATAGAAATTCCCTACGATTTATTAATGCAGTAAGTAATATGAACTTCATGTCTAGTACAGATGTCAATGAAGTCACCCATTACTTCAATACAGTGGTTAGTCAGATTTTAAATGAAATGGCTCCTTTGAAAAATACACTAGTAGTAAAAGCCACCAGACACTCCCCATGGTTTAATGATCACACACGCTCTTGCAAACATGAGTGCCGCAGATTGGAGCAGAAATGGAAATCCACAGGCTTAGAAGTGTTCAAGTTGGCATGATCCAACAGCCTGCAACAATACAAGCAAGCCCTTCATAGGGCATGTTCAGCCTATTATTATAACCTCAATAATTACAATAGAAAAAACCCTCACTACCTTTTTAGAACAATAGCTCATCTAACAGATAAGGCTGAACCTCTGATACCGAGTAATTTCATTAGGCAACATATTATGAACTACTTTAATGATAAAATTACAAACATTACACTTCAAACACATTCAAATGGCTCACAATTCACTTCAATGAAAACAGAACGTGAAAACGCCCTGAATGATTTTAAATTAATTCATGAACAAGAGCTAAAACTATTATAATTAAGATCAAACCAACCACTTGTCCACTGGACCCAATCCCCACTAAGCTTCTAAAGAATCTTTGGGAGTTCTGGCAAGACCTATAACTGCCATACTGAATGCATCCCTGTTATCAGGTGATGTTCCTGACCAACTGAAAGTAGCAGTAATCAGGCCACTACTGAAGAAGCCAAGTTTGGATCCACAGGAGCTCAGCAATTACAGACCTATCTCGAACGTACCATTATTGTTAAAAGTTCTGGAGAAGACAGTTGATGCTCAACTTCATTCATACTTGCAGAGACACAACATACTGGATAGAAATCCTGGGACCAGTCTGGCTTTTGTCCAGGATGCAGCACTGAAACTGCCTTGACTAAAGTTGTAAATGACATAACAATGGCAACTGATGCTGACAGCGCGACTGTGCTAATGCTTCTGGACCTTAGTGCAGCTTTTGACACAGTTGACCATTTTACCCTGTTACATACATACAATTACATTATCAATATGTCAGATAGTGTCAGATACTTGTACTCCATCGTCAATGTCACCGGTCAAATATGGAGTATCACAGGGGTCAGTGCTTGGTCCTCTATTGTTTTCCCTCTACATGCTGCCATTAGGAAACATAATGAGAAAACATAATGTTAGCTATCATTCCTATGCAGAAGACACCCAAATATACATTTCGGTTATGCCTAACGACACCACATCTATTGTCACTTTAGCTAATTGCTTTAACGAAGTCAATACCTGGATGGCTGAAAACGTTTTATCACTGAATGCTCAGAAAACCTAGGTTCTATTGTTTGGTAGCAGGTCAGCAAATAAGAATTTTATAATCTCCGCACTGCACTAAAAAGGGCTGAACTTTTCCCTCAGCAGCTCAGCCCATGACCTAGGTGTCGTCTTAGATACAAGCCTCTCATTCAAATCACATGTAAATGCAGTATCGAAGGCATGCTTCCTACAGCTATGCTACTTCGCCAAACTGCGACAATTTCTTACTATTCAAGACACAGGTTAGACTACTGTAATGATCTGTTATCTGGGAGCATACACTGCACACTAAATGCCTTGCAGCATATTCAAAATGCAGCTGCTCGAATTGTCACCAGAAGCAGGAAGTTTGAACACATAAACCCTGTTCTTAGTTCACTGCTTTGGCTTCCTGTTAGGTTTAGAGCTGACTTCAAAGTTCTCCTACTTACATATATGGCACTTAAAGGTCTAGCTCCTGCCTACCTGACAGAATTACTTCAAGTTTACAAGCCGCATCGTCCACTCAGGTCACAGAATGCAAGTTTCCTTGTCATTCTACATATAAATAAAGTGAGAGTGGACGGTAAAGCATTCTGCTATTGGGTCCCCATATTGTGGAATGGTTTACCAGTCTATGATCGGGATGCCGATTCAGTCTAAGTCACTAAATATCAACTGAAGACCCATTACTTCAGTTTAGCTTACTGTACCTGAAACCTACCACATCATAACTATGGTTGCTGGTATTCACAATGTATTCAAGATGGCGGCGCGAGTGTAGCTCGCAGCGACCACTCAGGGTCCAAAATGGTGCTTTTTTGTGCTATTTTGTTAATGTGCGCGGCTCCGAACTCACATGGGCACCGGAACAAACGGTGTTCATGTTCAACAACTGCTGAAGTACAGGAATAACCCAAAAACTGACCTGCAGGATGAACTTCGGCAAACGCTCCGCGTCCTCGGGTTGCTACAGAAACCAGGCCTCCAGCCCTCGGCCTCGCCTGATGCCTGCGGCCGGGAGAGAGCCCATCGGAAGAGGTGCATGAAGAAACAGAAGCGCGGCAAGCGAGCGGGGGTCCGTGCCAAGTTAAAAGCTAATCCCAGCCGGCCGGCACTGCTTCAAATGTTTGTTCCCTGGATAATAAATTGGACTGCATCAGACTTCAACGGACTACCCAGCGTGAATTCAGAGATTGCTGTGTCTTTGTTTTCACGGAGACATGGCTCAGCGACAGAGTTCCGGACGCCGCCATTCAGCTCGCCGGGCTAACCGCATTTCTTGCTTACAGAAGCACAGCACTGTGCGGTACGTCTTGCGGTGGTGGTTTGTGTGTTTATATCAACACGGAATGCTGCAAGAACTCTGTTTTACTGTCCAGCTTCTGCTAACCACTGGTGGAGTTAGTGACTGTTAGATGTAGACCTTTTTATTTACCACGGGAATTCACCACTGTGTTCATTGTTGGAGTGTATATTCCCCCGAGTGCTAATGCTAAACAGGCGCTTTGTGAGATGTACACGGCTATCAGTGGATTACAGAAGACAGACCCGGATGGACTGTTTATTATCACCGGAGATTTCAACCACGCAAATCTCAAGACAGTTCTCCCAAAATTCCATCAGTATGTGGACTTTGCAACGAGAGGGGAGAACGCGCTGGATCTTGTTTACACAAACATTCCCGGCGCGTACCACGCGGAGCCACGCCCCCACCTCGGATACTCAGACCACATCTCTGTTATGCTAATTCAAACATGCAGAATGCTCATCAGACGCTCTAAACCGGTTCTGAAGCAGGTGAGAACCTGGCCTGCAGGAGCCATCTCTGCTCTTCATGACTGCTTTGAGCACACTGACTGGCACATGTTTAGGGAGGCTGCATCCAATGGCAACAGCATCAACTTGGAGGAGTACACATCATCAATGACTAGCTACATCAGCAAGTGCATCGATGACATCACTATCTCCAAGATCATCACCGCGAGGACAAACCAGAAGCCGTGGATGACTGCGGAGGTGCGTGAACTGCTGAAGACCTGTGATTCTGCACAGCAAACGTGCCAGTGTTAAATTAACACTGTATGGTGTCTATATGTGACCACACCATTCAGTGTTACCTTTAACACTTTTCAGTGTGCAGTGAGTGTTGTTTTTACAGTGTTAATATTTATTAACTCTTATAGTGTTCAATTACAACCTAGAGTGTTAGGACAACGTGTCTCCAC